GATGATCCTGACCATGTTGTTGATGATGCTCTTGATGACTTAGCAGAAGACCCTTAATTAAGCGCTTTAACATGTCTTTCAAATTGTGTTTCAACATGTTGAATGAAATTTATTATATGAGTACGAGTTTCAGCTTTATTAGTCATGAGAAAAATCCATGTGAAACGAGTATTATCATCAACTCCAAGAAAATAAGATAAATCACCAAGATCCTTAATTTTAAAAGTTTGATCAAGAAGAGCAGTATGAGAGTTATCATTGAATTTTAAGAACAGTGAATGATCTGTAGAGGAGTAATGATAGCCATGAGACAAAAGAAAAGATGAAAGGCGAGCATACCACTGGCGACTTGCTTGTTTGAGCCCATATAAAGATTTTTGTAACTTACATACTTGGCTGGACTTAGTAGATGATAAACCTGGTGGAAGCTGCATATAAACTTCCTCGTGAAGTTCCCCATGTAAAAAAGCATTGTTAACATCTAGCTGTTTAAGAAACCAGTCATTAATGGAAGCCACAAAAAGAAGAAGACGCACTGTAGTGAGCTTAGCAACATGGGAAAAGGTATCAATGAAGTCAAGTCCCTCAAGTTGAGTATATCCTTTGGCTACGAGGCATGCTTTATAGCGTTCAATAGAACCATTTGCATGTTGTTAACCTTGTAAACCCATTTGCACCCAATGGCTGATTTATTAGGAGGAAGAGAAGTAAGGATCCAGGTATTGTTCGCTTCAAGGGCAAAAATCTCCTCTCTCATAGCTTTAAGCCAACAATCACTTTTGGAAGCCTCAACATATGAAGTTGGTTCAATTGTGCTAGAAAGTGATAGTGTAAAATGACGAAATGATGAAGACAAGCGATTATAAGAAATGTAAGAATCCAAGGGATAGCGAATACCTGAAGAATGATGTGATGTAGCTGATGTGAATGTGACATGAAAATCTTTAAGATATGAAGGTGGTTGACACAAGCGAGATGATCGACGAAGAACAATGGGAGAAGAAGCAGCCTCAGTAGAAGAAACAGGGACTATTGATGTATTTGGAGAAGTTTGCATGTCAAAGGAAGGGTCACTAAGATTAGTATTCGTAGGATTAGGAAGAGACGGAGATGGAGAATCAGTAGAAGACATTGAAGTGAGATACGAAAAATGATTTTATTCATAGAAGATGACATTGCGAGAAACTTCAAGGTGATGAGTGTGGAGATTAAAAGTGAGGTAACCTTTGGTGTGAGGCTTAAATCCAAGAAAAATACAAGGGTGGGCCCTGAGATCAAGTTTCTTTTGATTGGCTTTTATGGTACTAATATAGCAGAGACAACCAAAAACATGAAGTGAGGCAATATCACATGGTTTACCATAGAGTTTTTCAAAAGGAGAAATATTTTGCAAGAAAGGAGTGGGAATGCAATTGATGAGATATGTAGCATGCATCAGAGCAAAACACCAAAAAGAACGATTTAAATGAGATTGAAAAAGTAAAGCTCTTGTAACGTTTAGTAAATGTTGATGTTTTCGCTCAGCAATTCCATTTTGTTCAAGGGTTTCAATACATGTTGTAATACCTTTTGATTCAAAAAATTGAGTCATGGAAAACTCAAGACCATTATGAGTACGAATTTCTTTAACATGTCTTTCAAATTGTGTTTCAACATGTTGAATGAAATTTATTATATGAGTACGAGTTTCAGCTTTATTAGTCATGAGAAAAATCCATGTGAAACGAGTATTATCATCAACAACAGTAAGAAAATACTTGTGTCCATGCAAAGAAGTTTTGGAACAAGGTCCCCATATATCAATGTGAAGTAAATCAAAAGGATTAGATGCATAAGAATTACTCAAAGAAAATGGAAGCTTCTTTTGTTTAGCATAATGACAAGTGTTACATGTAAACTGGTTGTCATTGTGAATACATGGATAATTTTGCTGCATAAGTTTTAAACTGTTATATGACAAATGACCCATGCGATAATGCCCCGATAGGTTGGACATGACATTGAGGCTGTAGTATGGTAGAAAACAGACAAGAAGGATGAAGAACAACAGAGGTGAAAGTGTAAAGGCTAGCATTCACATCAACTATACCAATCTTCTCTTTAGTTTTCACATACTGGATAATACAAGAATTAGAACAAAAAATGAGTTCACAATCAAGAGATGAAACTAATTTTGATATTGAAATTAAATTGAAGGTGAACTCAGGAATGTATAAAACATTATTTAAGAAAAAGGAATCAGTAAATTTGACAGTTCCTGAATGATAAAGTTATTGAGATGTGTAACACTTGGTAAAAGTTACACATCTAAATTATTAATAAATATAAAGTTATTAATAAATATTTTTTTATCTAAATATAAAGTTATTGAATAGTTATTGAGTAATCTTTTATCTAAATTAGTTGTTATTTATCATAATTATTTATTTATTAAATATTAATTTTTTAAAATAGATTATTAATAAATAAAAAATATTTTGTAATAAACATACATTTATATAACCTTCAGATCAGTTTTTCTTTTTTCGAAGGAGTGCACTTTTTTTTGTCTAATTCAACTGTAAAGCGCAGTGTAAGCAATTCAACTTTTCGTCAACTGCGTTCGTTATAATATTCAAATCAAAAGTGACCGTTCTTTTCTTTTGCCTTTTCTATTTAAAAATAATTCAAAAGTTGATTTAAATAAATCAAAAGATTTATTTAAAATCAACGGTAAGAACTGAAAAAAAAAATTTAAAAAAAGAGAAACTAAAAAAATAAATTCACAAAAATGAGAAAAGAACACAATTATCCCCAAAACAATAGTTTGTTATAATGACCTTGTTTTCACCTTATCGTGTGTTTACTATACATATTATAAAAATGATATATTTTAATGACTACATCTTTTTCTACTTTTTAGTAGACAATTATATCTCTTGAATATAAAAAAAATATTCTTCTATTTTTTTAAAATAATTATTCATAATTTATAATATTTGTTTGTGTTTGTGTATAACTATTAGAGGCACAAAATGTTTCGGCCCCTCTAGTATATATAGATGAGTTATAATATTGGTCTAACTTTTACTATGTATTACATTACTCAATAACTTTATATTAATTATGAATTTTGTAAATCCGACCATTAAATTGAAAATTCATATCACTTTATACGTATATATCAAATTTTGTTAAAATTGAACAACAATTTGAAGGTAATCAATATATTCATATTTTAGTGTATTTTGAAATGAATATATTACGTCAATTTTGTTTTATAAAAATGAAGTATCAAATCATCTTGGATTAATATAAAATTTTGTATATATATGATCTAAGAGATATGAACTTTCAATTTAACGGTTGAATTTATAAAATTTGCATTTAATATAAAGTTATTGAGATGTGTAACACTTGGTAAAAGTTACACCGATGTTATTATAATTCCCTCTAATGGTTGAATTTACAAAATTCATATTTAATTTAAAGTTATTGAGCGGTATAACACTTAGTAAAAGTTACACTAGTATCGTTTGAACCCTCCTCAAATATATATATGAGGAGGGTTCAAACGACAATATATATATATATATATATATATATTTCTTCTCACATATTTTCCTTTTCTTAATTTATTTTTCAATGATCTAAATTCAACTTTTAAAACGTGATGTAAGTGATTACATCACTGGTTCAACTGCAAGTACTTATTTTTTGGTTACTTTTATGATTCTTTCTCCACGAGGCAGTTATGTATAACTAAGGAGAAAAGACACAAATGCTTCTCTCTTTTTTAAAAAAAATAAAATTTTTAAAAAGTAGATTGTTAATTGATAAGTGCAGATAATTTTTAATATGAAATTTAAAAGATAAAAAAATTATAATTTTGAAAAACGTAGTTATATAAAAAAAAATTGAATAATAAATCTATACACTAAAAAAATTATCATTTCATTAATATTATTATTATAATTATAGATTATAAATATATTGTGCCTAACTATGTTTAATGTAGAATTGTCCTTTATAAGAGTATTTAAAATTTATAAAATAAATAAAAAAATCAAATCAATTACGTAAATCATAAATAGAATCATTATTTACAATTCTTTTAGTTCAATATTTAATTTTAGAAATTTAGGTGATGTATTGATGTGGTCGGCCAAGGGGATCTAGAGGGCTCGGCTGCGGCGTAGTGGGTCGGGTCTGGTAGTGTTAGGATTTTTTGCTCTTTGTAACTGGGCCGTTAGTGCTTTTTTGTAATTTTGGCTGTTGGCGCCGATATATTTTGGATTTTGTGTAAATAGCCGAATTGGTCGGTCATACTTTAATGAAATTTCTTTTCGCGTTTCCATGTATGCAATATTTATTCAATAATCGTGAAAATAACCCGACTTGCATGCTTGGCCGAAGGCGGAAATTCGTGAGTTAGCATAGATTGACATTTGATGCGTTTGATAAAGAGATAGCGTGCGGTTCGAGAGAGCTCGGCCATAGCGTGTTTGGATTTGGGGTTAGCATGAAAGTGCTCGGTCTTAGCGTTGGATCAAGCGGCGTATAATTCAGTTAGGATGTGCTCTTAGCTATAATTATACAACTGTACTCCCGACGATAGTGCTCGGTGTTGTCGCATGTCAGTGTCCGGTCGAGTGCGCCGTTTGAGTGGTCGGCGTTGGCGTGTATCATAGTTCTCGGCCCAGGTATATCCTAAGCCGAGGAGGGTACTCGGGAGGAAAACCTGCGGGCTCGAGTGCCCCGTTTTAGTGGTTGGCCGAGGATTGCTCGGCGTTAACGTGTGTCATAGTGCTCGGCCTAGGTACATCCTTAACCAAGGAGGGTGCTCGGGAGGGAAACCTGGGGCTCGAGTGCACCGTTTTAGTGGTCGGCCGAGGATTGCTCGGCGTTAACGTGTCATAGTGCTCGGCCTAGGTACATCCTTAGCCGAGGAGGGTACTCGGGAAGGAAACCTATGGGGCTCGAGTGCACCGTTTTAGTGGCCGGCCGAGGATCGCTCGGCCTCGTCGCGCGTGATAGTACTCGGCCTAAGTGTACAACAAAACAGTAAACAATTACTAAATTTAGAAATTTATTAATGAAGTGCCTCGTTAAAAACCTTGCCGACCCAAAACCCTCCTTAGGGAAAAAAGAGTCGGTCAAGGAAAAGAGTGCATTGGTTCCGGTCTCTCTCTGTCTTCGGATAGCGGCCATTTCCTCATGCAATGCGCGCAAGTCATCCTGAAGATCGGGTTGGGCATGGTCGGAGTTAGGTCGAACTTCTTGTATCACTGGTTCCGGTTGTGTTTGGGGCATTCCATACGAGTATCTTCTTGACCGGTCATGATAGGATTATTCTCGGTGTTAGGGATCGGTTGAGTCGATGTCGATTGTCCTTTGCGCGTTACTACCATGTCTCGGTCTCAGTTGTAGAGTTAAGAGGGGCTGAAACGTCTCTTCGGCCCCACGGTGGGCGCCAAATGTTCCTGTGTTAGGATACACACTCCAATTATCCTTGTTATAGCTGGTCTGATCCTGGGTCTCGGTGTTCTCGTTCCTATCCGGGTAGTCCGATGTGAAAAGGGGGTGTGCCTGCAAAGACACTCCAACGCTCAAGTAAGTGCTCGGCGTAATAAATGCGGTAGTTGAAAGTTGGTTACGTACCTCGAAGGGGGTCTATTTATAGTGTTTCTTATTGGGCCGTAATTAGGGACTGGGCCCCAGAGAATTAGGGGAATAAATCGGCACATTATGTAAATTAATCTCTCCGTAATCATCCTGGTGTAAATTCGTGTCTGGACCGAGGCAACCGACACGTCTCGTTCGTGAGTAGTCGGTGTTCTCGGGTGGTCGGCAGTTTCGGTTACGGGCGTGTGAGCTCGGGCCGTTCAGCTATGGGCTCGGGTGTTCGGTCGGGTCGGTCACCATACGGTATAATAACCATCTTAATTTTTCAATGACATCCACTGTGAAATAGATGTATGAGATTGCCTCGATGATTTGGAGAAGTGAAGGAGAAGAGAAAGAAGCTGCCAAGGAAGAATTCTTGGAAGGTGTGAAGTTATTGGAAGAACAACTAGGGGACAAGCCTTATTTTGGTGGAGACAACCTTGGCCTTGTGGATGTTGCACTTATTACTTTGATATGTTATTATCATAACTATAATATATGTGACAATTTCATCAACGAGGCACGGTGCCCTAAAATCATTGCTTGGTCCAAGAGGTGCACTCTAAAAGAGACTGTGTCCAAGTTTTTTCCCGAGGAAAAGAGGGCCAAAGAGTTTGTTTCTCAAAAAGAGAAAGGATTTGAACTATGCGTAGATTAGAGAGGGTGCCTATAGAAAAATATTGCTTCTAGTTACCTATGTGGTCTATCTTTTGAATAATGTATGGCTTTACAAAAGTGCACTTAGATGTGCCTTTGGTTTTGCTACTTATTATTTTCAATGGATATTTGTGACCCAGTGCAACATGCTCTTTTAGTCGAAGTGAAATAATTTCAACTAAATTTTTTTAATCAAATTTTTTTTATTAATTAAAGTCATGACCATGATTGTTTCAACTTTCATGACCTATAAAAAAGGATCTCCATAAATTTTTTAAAAAAAATTTAAAAAAATTTCTCTTTAAACATGTGTACAAAGGTCATCTTCTTTTGAATAATTTCTACTATGAACTCATTTGAATCACATCTTAATTTTTAAAATGTCTCCTCATGGACCCATCTTTTAAACTTTCATCTTTCTTTAAAACATCATATATGGCCTTTTTCTTCTACTTTATTGAAAAAGTTTTAGCTCACACCTGAAATGGTCAAATATGGTGCATCCCATATTTTTAAAACACAAAGAATAATTCTTTTCAAGCATTTGTCTCATACTCAAAAGGTTTTAATTTATTTTAGGCACAAATAAAACATCTAAAATTTATTTGATAGTTTAAGGAGTTTCAATAACTTCTTTACCTTTAACATAAACACTTTCTAATGGTGATTTGAGAGATTTGAGATTGATTTAATTCCTTGAAAATTGCAACATCATGAGTCATATGATTTGTGCATCCACTATCTACAAATCATGTCTCTTTGCTATTACTAGTTGAATAACAAATAGCAACAAATAAATATTTCTCATGTTGCTTTTCATGTTCTGTAATTCGAGCTTGATGTTCTTATGATTTTTTTTTTACTTTTACAAATCTTCTCCACATGACCAAAATGATTGCAAAGCCTAAATTTAATGCTTGGTCTAAACCAACAAAAAAATTTAGTATGGTTGTCCTTCTTGCAATGGCGGTACAGTACGAATTTGTTTTTCCAACCTTTTTCTTGGTTGCCTTTTTAATTTTTGCCTCTTGCGTATATTAAAAAAACACATTCAATATTTCCTTCCATCCTCAAATATCATCTTTGTTTAATGGCTTGTAAAGAATTCACAAGTTTTGCAATTGATATTTGAGAAAATTCTTTATTTTCTTCAAGAGAGGAGTTTTTTGGATTCGAACATCTCTAGAAGACACACCAAGATTTTCTCCACAACGCATTTCTCATTAAGTTTTTCATCAAGTAATCTAGTTTGGGTAACAATCTTCAAAAGTTTGTTAGTAAAATCTTTGATAGATTCAATTTATTTCATTTTTATCACCTCAAATTCTCTCCTTAGGTTTAACACCTAGATTCTTTTCATTTATTGACTCCCTTGGAACTCCTCCTACAACTCATCTTTTGCCTTTTTTGTAGTTTCAAGAATTCACTAGTGGAAAATTAGGATACTACGTCACCCATTTTACGTCGGACATACAAACACCCGACGTAATAAAAACACGGTAGCATGGTCCGTAATTTTAGTTAAATTATTTACATCGGATCCTACTAGGGCCGACGTAAATAATCCAATCGAGAAATCAAAAATTTAAACCCAAACTCATCTCCCGCGCGTTGTGCAATGGAGGCCAGCGAGAAATCCCTCCGCCTCCTCCTCAAACTCCTCTCACTGAAAAAAATGGATTTTTTCATGTCTTGGGGCAGTGGGTTCTTTCACCCAAATACTTCAACTTTCCCCTCCCCATTACGCTCACCATGATCCACATGGGGTTTTCTGGGGCGGTTGCATTTGTCCTCGTGAGGGTCTTTAAGGTAACCCATCTTCTTCTACTTGCTACTTTCTTTGTGCAAAATCTTCGTTTTGTTTATTTAGTTCTATGAGGTGGCGTCTTCTGCTGAGTGTGTTCACGGGAATAAGAAGGTAATGTTTGCGTTGCATTCTGAGTTTTTGAAGCTGGAGAAGGAAGTGACCAAGTCCAGGTTGCAGCACGGGCCGTTCTGGTTGGAGAACGGGCCGTTCTCCATGCAGAACGGGCCGTTCTCCATTTAGAACGGGCCATTCTCCTTGCAAAACGGGCCGTTCTGCTTGGAGAACGGGCCGTTCTCCAACCAGAACGGCCCGTTTCTGCTTGCAGTCATTTTTCTTTTTCTTTTTTTAATTTTTTATCTTTTTACGTCGGACCTTGTAATGTCCGACGTAAATTTACGTCAATTTTCGCACCCCGACGTAAATTTACATCTCCCGCTTCGACGTCGGAGGTTTTTCCGACGTAAAATCCCTAAAATAACCGACGTAAAATGTATATTCTGTACTAGTGATTAGAAACTTGATAAATATATCATCGTGTGGTGTTGTGTAAGAGTTTTTCTTTTTTTGCCACCTCATCATTATGACTCCTGATTTGAATTAATGTTGGTAATGGAAGTGTATTAATTCCATTTTCCATCATAACCCACAAACTTTGGACTATGAGATAATTTCTTATTTATGCAACCCACAGTTGATAGTTTTCAATTTCAAATATAGAGGTGGAGGTTAACTACTGTCGCAAGCCAATTTTGTGTTTGAACGTGTTTTTTGTATAGGTTTTCTTGTTGGTTTTTCCTCTAAGTTTGTTTCATTCTCTCATAGACCCTACCATATTGAAAATAAAACATGAAAAACAGGAGTATGATTAAGAACAAATATAAGAGATCGAGATTAAAAAAATCTGGAACTTCACATATACAACAGGAGTCAAAAATTGATCTGATTTATTTGAGTAATGAACTTATTTACACACATTAAAAGTGTTTACAACAAGTATTTGAATATTAAAACTGACTAACCCATGATTGAATAAAGCAAATAGTAAAATATAATTAAACTAACAAGCACATATCACTTATCTATACAACTTACTTTTATGAACATAAATAACCTTTAATCAAATTTACAAACAAAATAATAAATTATAGAAACTTTAAAATAATTAATTATGATAGAGAAAAATCTTGAATACCAACGAACTCACATCTTATAAATACCGAACAAGTTATTGACATCCAAACATCAATATCTAAACGCCAAATTGAGTAGTTTCTTTAACTAACATTGAGTCACTTCAATTAGTGGCAAACAAATGAGAGAATTGAAACAATAATATTGACTAGTGCAAGAAACAACTAACGAAGAAATTTTTTTATTTATCACAAGTGCACAACTTATACATAACGTCAATCAACCCCCAACTTATCATGAATGTAGGACTGACTCATGAAAGATACACTTTTGGTGTTGGTGTATACTCAAATTTGAAGTTAAGGTTATCATGTTCAATGATTAGAATGCCTAAGACATAGCTCAATAAACAAAATGATCACTACCAGAATTTCTCTTATTATATGCGATTTTTCTTGCAAATTTTTCATAAAAATTCGTAGGAAACGTTGTTCCTGCAAATTTTTCTGTGAATTTTTATCTGCACGTAATACCTTTGTAGATAATATATTTTTGCGAATTTTAAAATTTGCAGGAAATTTTCTTGTGAAATTTCTTGCGAAAAAAATTCGTAGGAAAGTTTCCTGCAAAAACAAATTTGCAAGAAAGTTTCCTGCAAAAAAAATTTGCTGGAAAATTCGCAGGAAAGTTTCTTGCGAATTTTTTCGCAAGAAATTTTGCAGGAATATTTTTACGAAAAAAATTAAAGAAATTACTATAAATTCTATCAATAATTTTTTAACTTTCAAATGCTCACAATGAATTCATCCGAAGCATTTGTTTCCATGCCTCCAGCTAGCATGTGATACATAATCTTTTAAATTCAAAGATTGTAAATTATAAGTTTAACACTCAACCATACAAATCAACTTGTAAGGTAAGTGTTGCCCCAACTTATATACTCTTTAACTGTTTTATTTTCAATCGATGTGGGACTTGAAGTTTTTTTAAAATATTAAACTTATAAATTTAAATATTTTTTTTATTTTTCCTGCGGATTAAAATTTGCAGGAAAATCCGCAGGAAAAGTTACCTACAAAATTTTTCTACCATTTAGTAAACATTACTTGCGAATTTATTTTTGCAAGAAAATCTACAAGAAACAAAATAAAATTCTTACAATATTTTTTACAAATTTTTACCATGGAAAAAAATTTCTATGATTATTAAAATTGTAGCAAAATTTTTAAGAAATATCTGTAAATTATTTTTCGCAAATAAATTGGCAAAAAATTTCTGCGAATTTTTTTTTGCAGGAAAATTCGCAAAAAAATTTCTTCGAATATTTTTTTTGCAAGAAAATTCGCAAAAAATTTCTGCAAATATTGTTTTACAGGAAAATTCGCAAGAAAATGACACTTTTCTAGTAGTGGATTAAGGATGAGAAATTTTCCCTTCGAACAGCAAAACTTGGCATTGAGTTCATGTCTTATATGTTTTAGGAACAACTGAACAAGTATATTTTTGGTGATTAGTCGATAATAGTAAACACAGGTCAAAGGTAAATGGAACATTAATAGTATGCCCACAAGCTGGCCACATCCAAGATGTTGACCAGGATTGCAACTTACATGCCTTATTATGGAAGTTGTGAACTCACAAGTTTGTTTCTTCTTTCTAATATTGATCCCATTGTACAAAGAAAGCAATAACAATGACGTAAAAAAATAGTTTCATATATCACACACTAACACCAAGTGATTCTAGCATATAATAATGTAGAAAAGAACCAACAATCACATGAAAGATACATAAGAAATTTTTCGAAACCTACACATTCCCACAGAAAGCATGAAGTTTGGCACATAGAGTGCCCACACTTATGCCGATGGAAGACCAATACTATTATTATTCTATTGAAAGGTCAAGAATGATCGATGGAAGACCAATTTCAAAGTAGTTACACAAATATATTATTTTATTGAAAGGTTAAGAATGACCATGCGAGACCAATACTTCACAACGATCATTAAGTTTCAATCTATTCAATTCCTATAATATAACAAAATTTATTATTACTAATAATTATTTAATGACAATAAATTAATTGTCTCTATTTTATTATTTAATAAAAATATTAATAACTAATATATAATAGCCACTAAAAATGTATTTATATCACATCAAAATTTATTATTGGTGATAATTATTTATTGGAAAAAACTTGAGTCTCACATCGACTAAAGATAAAATAATTAAAGAGTATATAAGCGGATAATAGTTCTCACCTTAGAAATTTGTTTTGTATGGTTGAGTTAGACCTATAACTCACTATTTTAAGTTAGTACTAGATTACTCACCATTATCACACTCAAAAGTACTAAACTTGAGATGGTGTATTGGAAAAAATCTAATTAAAAAGTATGTAAGTAGAGAGCAACTCTCACCTTGCAAGTCCCACCATATCTCTTAAGAGATAAGATAATTAAAAAAAATAAGAAAAAAACTCAAGTCTCACATCGATTACTAATTGAAAATAATTAAAGGGTATGTAAGTAAATAGCAACTCTTACCTTGAAAGTCTCACGTCTCTTAGGAGATAAGACAATTAAAAAAATAAGAAAATTAAATAATATATAAATAGAGGACAACCATCATCTTACAAGTCTCACATTGATTAGAGATAAAGTAATTAAAGAGTATTATAAATTATTTCTTAAACTTTAATGAAAATAGCAAAAATATTAAATGTCACTAAAAATGTCATAAAAACTTTACATTTTTCCCGACCATTATAAGGGTCTTTACCAGCATACAAAATAATTGTTCACTAAATATTTTAGCAACACTACATATAGTAACTAATGTGGAAATACTAGTAAAAGATTTTGCAATAATTTTTATTGTTATTAAAAATTATATTAAATGTCACTAAAAGTCAATTTTATTGTAATCCTAACTTCTTTCTTAACTCCGTAGCGTACTCGTGAAGCTTATGCTGATCAGGAAGAGACTTAGAAACACTCTCTTTCTGCAAGCACCTCTTGACCCAAGCAATAAACTTGGGGCAGTCACTCTCTAAGTTGAGGTAGCCCAAAGTATCATAGACTTTGAACCAAGAGTAGAATGGAACAAGTGCTATGTCCACAAAACCAAGATTGTCTCCTCCAAAATAAGTATTGTCTCCTAGTTGATCCTCCAACAATTTAAGGGCTTCTATGAATTCCTTCTTGGCAATTTCTATTTCTTCTCCTTTTGATGTCCAAAACTTGCTCCAATGTTCATATATCTATTCGACATTGAGAATTAACACTAAGTTAGATCCTAAAATTTTTAAAATTAGTTCACATATATTATTTATAAAACTGAATTATAAGATGGTAATTTTTCTCACTTAAATATATTATTTTAACAATATTATTAATTAATACGAGATTTTTAACATATTCCTTTCATAAAAAAAATTGGAACGATAAAACTTTTATAATTAAATATTTATAAATAATCTAATAATACTCAAACAATAATTAATAATATAACTAAAATTTTTATATCATCTTAAAATGTGATCTTTAATCTAACTCATCTTTATATCAGTAAAATAACGGATTAAATCACATTTCTCTTTACTTAAAAATCATAATATAAAAACAATATTTAAATAATTATAAGTAACGATAGAAGTAATGAAACACATGAGGGTACCATCTTTTCAACATAGTCAACCCAGAATCTAGCCTGAGCTCTCTGGTAAGGATCAGAAGACAACAAAGGATTTCTGTCATTCCAAACCTCCTCAATGTACTGAACAGCAATGAGAGATTCACAAACGGGCTTGCCATTGTGGATGAGAACTGGGATTTTCTTGTGAACCGGGTTCATTTGGAGGAGCAGAGGACTCTTGTTACTGATCACGTCCTCTTCTTTGGACTCATACTTGATGGCCTTTTCAGCAAGGGCAATCTTGACCCTCGCCGCAAAAGGACTTGGCCAGAAATCTAGCAGAACAATCTCATCTGCCATGGTTGAGTTAAAGGAGAGCAAAGAAAGAAGGATAAGAAGTTTGATATAGAAAAATGATTTGTGGTGCGAATGAATGTTAAGACCAGCTTATTTGTAGCGAGTTTTGGACTTGAGACAATGAATACGTGACTTTTATGAGTCAATATGTACTGTGCACTACTTTACGTAATCAAATAATTTTCTAGTTTAGCTCCAATAAGTTTATTACACGCTTTTCATGTTCACACTTTGTGGGGTCTTTGTGGAGATACTAACTTGGACAAGTCATCGTGTCTTGTAGAATTTTCTTTACTATTACTTTCCTTTCGTGGATTTCTACACAAGCATGTTAATTTCTAAGCTCTAGGATTACGACCTTCCATGTCTAAATGTGGAGAGTACAGTCCCCATATCCCTCACCATGTGTCATGGCTTATGTAAGCAACAACTGTCGTGTCTTCTCGAAAAATATCCTTCCATGTTTATCAGTCGTATCCTTTGACACTTTCCTTAGAATTGTCCCAAAAATATATAATTGATTGATGGGTTGGTAAGAGAAATTGTAAAGTGCCACCTGCTTGTTGGATGGATATGAAGGAACTAGGAAAGAGATAGAGAGAAGGAAAAACTGAAAAATAGCCTATAGGACTGAACATAAAAGTAATCTAGGACGAAATAGTAAGATGAAGTAATTAACAACCACACACATACGACAGTCTTAAAATATTACTTAACAAGTAAAAATTTAATCCAATAAATTAATCTTTGATAATTTTTCAAACAACGCGTTGATTGGGAAAAAAAAATTAATGATATGATATAACAACCTTTATAAATGGGTATTAGTAACTCAAAAAAAAAAGTTAATCCTTTGATAAATGAATTTTACTATCTCTAAAAATTAATCATAGATAGTTTCTCAAATATTAATCTTTTTATAAATAAATTTTAGTAATTGATCTTTAACTTATTGTCGAGTGATATTCTAGATTCCTAAGTAACTCAAAAAATATATATAAATTTCTATTTTTGCAAATGCTTATAAGTATTTATGAAAAAGGATGGTAGTTGAAATTTTTTCATTGTCATAATTAAAAATATTAAAATCTTTGTAATTTTTTGTTTTATTTGTAAATTTGGTTAAAAGTTACTTTTGTTCAGAAAAAATAAGTTATGTAGACAATTAATGTTTGCTTATTAGGTTAGTCATATTTTACTATTTATTTTATTCAATTAGGGATTAGTCATTTTTAGTAGTTAAACACTTGTTGTTAACATTTCTAATGTGTACAAAACTAAATTCATAACTCAAATATGTCATATCAGTATTTGCCCATTTAGTATGTGTAATGATGCATATTTTTGTTAGTTTTCTGAGCAAATGCACTCAAGTCTCTGTAGTATAAGGTTGTCGATCCTCAAAGACTTGTGAAGTAAATCTTGATTTCTATTATACTAATTGCTACTTGTTAATTCAAAGTTTGAATATTCCAACATGTTAAATATTTGATGTGAGCAGTAATTTAAACTCAAGTAATCATAACCGAATTAAATTTAAGAAAAGCATATGTAATAAACAGTTGGGATTAAACTTTGTCAATCTCCTTCCTATGTATTCCTAACGATTCTTGCAAATAATTTCATTACTCATTGCAATTGAGTTCTCTATATTCATTCGGAGCCAATTCCTTGACATCAGAAATTCTAAGATATTTAACCTAATGAATGATCATCACTTTATCCAATTAAACATCTTGCATTAAGAATCATAACTTGTTACAACTATTAGTTTCAAAACCATTCCTAGCTCTCAAAACTAATAGGTGATTCGTTTCAAAACTAGATTCAGAAGACATTTTCTAACCAAATTCTAAATCCAAGATCAATGATGAAAGATTAGTTCATCAAAGCATTAAAAACAGAATCCAAATCACTGGCACTGAATAATAGATGTAATATATATAGATGAATCAAAAAGGAATACACAGGAGTTCGATGAATATTACATTCAATCCCAACCAAAAAGCTTTAGCTCTCCATGGTAGAAGAGATCACTAAGTGAAAATAGAAAGGAGAAAGGTAGAAGAAAGAGATTCTCCTAAGAACTTTGTTCCCACGTGCTCTAGGGTATCCTCTTTTATGTGTTGTCCTCTGTTCTTCCTTTGTGCAACCCCTTACAACCTCTTTTTCTCTCCCCACAATCCTTTTATAGGTGTTGTGTATAAAATAGGGCAGGCAGGAAAGAGAAGAAATTGTTCAGCGCTTCAAAATCGTTGAGCGCCTGGAGAATACTTCGTCATAAAGGAATCCAAAGGGCTAAGCTCTTTAAATCCGCTGAGTGCTTGGGAGGCAGAGAGAGTACTCCTCTTTCAATGACAAAACCGCTCAACCCTTTTGAGGCACTGAGCCCTTTTCCTCTGCTACACTTGGGGTGCTCTCTGACTCAAAAGTGCTTAGCCCTTTGAAAGGGCTGAGCCGTTTGCTTCCAGGGACTCCTTCTTGTTCCAATCTCCAAAATCTACCAAAGAAAAGAGAATTGTGATAAAAAAAATAAAAATAAAAAAAATCACTCCATACAATCATTTCAATTAAAGGCCCCTTTTTGATTCCACTTATATTTGCTAAAATTTTATCCCTCTATTAAAAAAATTGTGATAGATATGTGTCATAATTTAATAATTTCGTTAAGTAATCTTGACACTTATCAATATTCTTATCTAAATCTCTATATTTTGTTTAGTCATACACCTTTATTTTTCATGTTCTGATTTCAACATGGTATTAAGAGTTTCATTGATCTTCAAGGGTTTGTGAGAGAGAAAAGAAAAAAAGAGAGAAAAAATTAGCAAAAAAAACTTCGAACACAAAAATGACTTTCGACAGTAGTTCTTTACCTCCACCTCCTATATTTGTTGGTGAAAATCACCACTTGTGGCTGTAAAAATGAAAACTTATCTTAAAGCTCAAAGTTTGTGAGATATGGTGAAAATTGGAAGTAATCCACCTCTATTACCAAAAAATCCAACAGTACCTCAAATGAGGAATCATAATGATGAAGTGGCAAACGAAGGAAAAGCTCTTGCCATTATATAGGAAACACTACATGATGATATATTTATCGAGATTCTGACTCTTGAAACTATAAAAGAGGTATGAGATAAGCTATAGGAGAAGTTCCAAGGGAGTGAAAGAACGAAAAGAATACAGATGTTAAACCTAAAGAGAGAGTTTGAAGCTGTAAAAATGAAAGAAAAGAAAAAAGTGAATCACCCAAAGATTTTACTGACAAACTTTTGAAGGTTGTTACCCAAATCAAAATTAATTGGTGAAAAACTTAGTGATCAAAGATTTGTTGAGAAAATCTTGATGTGTCTTTCGAAGATGTTTGAATCCATAAATCTTCTCTCTTAAAGAAAATAAAGAATTTTCTAAAATATCAATTGTAGAACTTGTGAATGTTTTGCAAGTCACTAAACAAAGAAGATCTTAAAGGATGAAAGAAATTATTGAAGATGCTTTTATGACATACACAAGAGACAAAAAATAGGAAGAAGACAACAAAGAAAAAGGTTGGAAAAATAAGTTTTCACCATGCCATCATTGTAAGAAGAACAACCACACGAAAATTTTTTGTTGGTTTAAGTCAAACATTAAGTGTAGGGCCTACAATTAATTTGGTAATGTGGGAAAGGTTTGTAAAAACAAAGCAAACCCACAAGAACATCAAGCCCAAATTGTGAAGCATGAAAAGTAATATGAGAAATACTTATTTGTTGCTACTTGTTATTCAACAAGCAATAACAAAGAGGCATGACTCGTAAACAGTATATGCACAAATCATATGACTCATGAAAAGAGGCATGACTCGTAAATAGTAAATAAGTTTTCAAGGAATTAAATCAATCCCAAATCTCCAAAGTCACCATAGGCAATGGAAAAAGTGTTGATGTCAAAGGTAAAGGAGTTGTTGTTGTTGAAACTCCTTTAGGTATCAAATATATTTAAGATGTTTTATTTGTGTCTAAAATAAATCAAAACCTTTTTTAGTGTGTGACAAATTCTTGAAAAGAATTATTCTTTGTGTTTTAAAAATATGGGATGCACTATTTTTTACCCTTTTGAGTGTGAGCTTATGTTCATTAAAATGAGAGATAAAATTTTTCTAATAGAATGGAAGAAAAAAGCCAAGCATGTTGTTTTAAATAAAGATGGAGATTTGAAGAATGAGACACTTAAAGAGACATTTCAAACTCTTAAATGTGATTCAAATAGGTTCAGAATAAAAGCTACTCAAGAGAAGGTGATCTTTAGACACAACCCAACTTTAAAAAAAAAAAGTGAAATTTATGGGGAATCATTTTTTATGAGTCATAATAGCTACAACAATCATAGTCATGGCTTTGGCTAAAGGAGGAGAAAAAAAAATATTTGAAAAATTTAGTTGAAATTATTATATTTCTTCTTATCATTTCAATAAGTTTTACGAAGAAGAACAATGTTGATAATATTGTTGCAACTCTCATGAAAAAGATCTTTAAAAAATGGATTAAGACAATTGTAAATATATTTTCAGATGATCTAATTAGCGTTAAGCTAAGGAATATTATGACTTTTGATACTCGTCTACTTGAAGGTGATCCAACAAAGAAGTATAGAGGATCGATGATAGAGATCAAAACTTGAAATGATGAAGAAAAATCTCAAGGAAGAGTGTTATTAGTTGAGATTTTCTACATGATTAAATATTTTAAAATCTCTACAGTTTTCTATTTAATCTATAAGTTTGGTTAAAGGTTACTTATGTTCAGAAAAAATAAGTTATGCACCAAAGTAATGTTTACTTATTAACTTAGTCATATTTTATTGTTTGTTTTATCCATTCAAAGGTTAGTCAATTTTAGTATTTAAACACTTAATGTAAACACTTTCAATGTGTGTAACACTGAGTTTATAACTCATATGATATCAATTTTTGTCAATTTTGTGTGCGTTGTACGTAAATTTTCTAATTTAACCCTCAATATTTTGTTTAGTCATACACTTCTATTTACCCTCAATATTTTGTTTTCACCGGAAAAAACTTACTGAATTAAAGCCAATAGAGCCTGAT